GCAGTGTCCATTTTCTAAAATAAGTAAATAAAAAGGATTTCTTGCGGGGCATGTTTTGGCGTCAGCAATTGATCTTAGTAAACCATAAATAATCACAGTAAGAACGAATGGGTATTAAGGGCTTATCAGTCACTGTGACCTGCAACTTGTAGCCATCATAAATTAAACCCTTTGACTCCGGGAATATCACTACGACCCCCGTTTCAAGGATTTCAAAATCAGGGCTCTAGGAAGTTAAATTGCTCCTACAGGGTTGCGAAGGGGCTGGCCGTAAGGTGCTGGTACTGGCCGGAACAGGACACTTTGCGCTAACGCACCTGCGTGGCCCACACCAGAGCTTATTCACAAGGACGGCATTTAATCCAGTAGACCCCAGCCCAAAGTCGTGCGAGAAATCAACGCAAAAGGAAGGGTTTTTATTAAAATTCAAATCGCCAACTCCTCCCGGTGGCGACCCTCCGAGGACACTGCCCAACTAAGCTCTCTGGAGTTTCTGATATCAGGACATCGGAACTACGTTCTCCGAACCCCAATGAACCTAGCCTCTGATGTCAAAGTCCATAGAGGGGTGCAAAGAACATGGCCTTGGCCTCCAAGCAGTTCCTGGCGGTGTGAGCTGGAAACGGAGAGGCAGAGCTTGCACCCCCGCGGTCTCTAAAATGCCCAGGACCGACACACGCCGTGTGCCCCCGGGAGCTCGTAATTGGGGTTTCCTGTGCATCATCCGCTTAGTCCACAGTGACCTTGGGGTCGGGGACTTCGTGCTGAAGCGCACGGACTCCGTGGACCTCCTGGCCCCCTACGCGGGACTCCCGCGGGCCGGGCCGTGCACCTGTGCGGACGTCGCCTCCAGCCCGGCAGGAAGGGAGCGCGCGCGCCCGGCGGGGATGCTGACTCAGCCCGGCCGCTCGCATTCCTTCCGCGCAACGCGGATGCTGCTGCAGCGGCAGAGGGGGGTTACCCAAGGCTCCCGGAGCGGCCGGGCAGCTCGGAGCATCCATTGCGGCACTCCCTCCCCACCCTCGGAAAGGGAACTGTGGAGGGGCGCGAGTTGACGAAATCGGGGGAAGTGGGCGCCGGAGGAGGAACTCCAGCCCCGCGCGCGCGGCTCACACCCAAACTGGAAGGAACCTGTTCTGCCCGGGGCTGCGCGGAGCCAGTACAGCCGCGAACCCCGCGCAAGACCAGCCACGGCGCGCGTCCCCTCTCCCGGCTAAATCCTCCAGTCCCCAGGGCGCGGGCGGGGCTGGCGGTGGGTGCAAGGGAGCCGGCGCTCCCAACACCCGTGCACTTGCATTGCGGCAAAGTGCGGAAATCTAGGCGGGCCAGGCAAGCCCCGGTGGGGGCTGACTGGGGGGTCGTGTCAAGGACCCCGGCGGCGTTGGCGGGAGCGGCCCGCGCCGGACCGCGACGCTGTTACCTTCGGTGACCCCCAGCCCCGGTGGCAGGCGAGCGGACGCGCGCCGGCGCGGCCCCGATCCACGTGGG